TATATAAAATAAAAGTAAAAATAATATTTTTTCCTAATTTTTCTCTAACTTCCCAAATTACCTATTTTCTCTCATTAATCGGCGCTCTATCAGTACTCGTGCCTTGGAAATTTGCCTTGTCCTCAAGGCAAGACATAGGGAATAACTTTCTTGGATGACTGGAGGTTTTGGTGGGAGCAACAAATAAACAGCAGTATCTCCAATTTGGGCTCCAAAAGTAGAGTTGGGCTGAACAAGAGACCCACTGTTCAATAGCACGACATGTAATTACTCGGTACTCTATCAGGAGTATATTGGAATAAGAAGTGGTGAGGTTATTACGTAGATTCACCATTTAAAATATATGCGTATAAACTTAATCATGAATAAACATGTAAGCATGACACGTGAATTGAAAAGGTTAACTAGCATACTTGTATGATAATTTATGATCAGTTTAATCTGTTTTTGTAAGAAGGATCTTTTGAATATTTTTCTTTTCTAGACACTTGGGCAGCAGCAGAACTCGATGTTGCAGCTGTGGCAGCATTAAGGGCATCAGCTAACTCTAGTTCTTTTTCTTCAACCTGTCTCATGGCACTTTCTCTAGTCTCCTGACATTCCACCTTTAGCAACTGCACAAGCTCAAGCTCTTCTCGCAACACTTTCTTCGCTTTAATCCATTCACTCTGAAAATAAAAATGTTACAAATTAACGGTTAATTAGATCCTCCAATCCATCCAAAAATATTCTTTACGTACACATAATATATTTCTATAATTGCTCTATCAATAACAAAAAACATTAGGCGAGGAGGCGAATCTCTCTCAAAGCCAAATATGAAGAAACAGTAATTTTGACTATCTTAGATTTAAGAGCTGTGCATAAACAAAAAATCTATTATCACCCAGCCCGGTTAGTGATAATATTTTCACAATGTTAAAGTTGCAACTTCAATGAAAATGAGTTCATAATGTCAATGTCTCGAACATTATATATATATATATATATATGGGAGGGGCGGACCAAAGCAGTCAGCACCTGAGCAATGTCAGCATCATTTTGAGCATGCTCAGCTTCTTTTCGGGCAGCATCTAATTCTTCACTTATCTCTTCAACTTGCATCATAGTAACTTGTCTTATATACATAATTTCCAACTTTAGCAGTTTGACAAGCTCTTCCTTTTCCTTCAACTCTCTCTTCACCTTGGCCCATTCATTCTAAACATAGAAGTACCAATTAATACCCATCCTAAACAATTCTTTAAGTACACACAACTAGTTTCTCTGAGTCTAGCACTATATGGAAATATATATATATATATATATGTATGTATGTATGTATGTATGTATTAATAATAATAAGTAGGGATTTTGATGGAATCAAGTGTTGATATTGGAAATTATAGAATTTGGTTTGAAGAGATGGGCTTAGACTTGAAATTTAAGCATTTATGTTTACAAGATATTCGATGAAGTTCCTGTTAGAGTTGAGTTTAGTTATGAGATTTTTTTTTTTAACTTCATTAATTTTATAAGGATATATATATATATATATATTTGGTTTGGGTGTTAATGATTTATAGATTTAACTTGATGGTTTGTAAATAATTTTGATTATGAATTTAGCGTGAGACAAATTGGATTATGGAGAATCACATGGTTGGTTATTATAAAGGATAATATTTTAAGACCTGATTTTGAGAATGCATTTAAAGTGGTCGATAAAATGGGTGATAGAAGAACTCTGAAATTTTAATGTGATTAAGGTGGTGTTTGTAGATATATACAAATGTAGTTATATATGTGTTTGAGAAGAGTTGGATAGAAATAAAGTGTTGAATAGAAAGAGCTTGATATTAGTTTGAGGATTAATGTCTACAAATTATTTAAGAAAATGTCTCAATGTGAATTTTGACACATGATGGCAAGATATGTGGTGGTAAATATATTGATGATGCAACAATTATTAGAAGACAATAATTCTCTTTAGTAGATATTTAGAAGTTTGCTTAGTTCAAATTATGGTTCCAGAAGAACTTTTGGAAAAGGGAATTTGTGTGATACGAGTAAAGGTCATTAACTAATTCTTTGCATATTTAATATAGGATGTTGAGAAGAGGACAAACTTTTTAGAAGTGGAAAAAAATAAAAAAATTAATCTTTAGATTTTGGAGTATGACAGGTAAATGGATAGCGTCTCAACTGATTTTTCCAATCAAAGTTTTCTTTCCTAAAATATTATGTTTTTTGGCAAATCATTTTAATAGCAATAAGGTGATTATTGAATATTTATTGATTAAATTTTTTTTTAATTTGAGAAATTAGCTTTCCCAGATTTGAAATGCTATTTGATCAAATAAAACAAGTTTGAACTTTAATTATGAAATTTTTATTTTATCAAATATTGAATTGATACCGAAAATGATTCATGCGAATTTGTCATTGAAAATAAAAATTTTTATTTAATAATGATTATTTTCTCGTATGTTTAAAAATAAATTTGAAGGAAATTTTATACAGAATACTAGTTGCTAACGGCAGTTTCATTAGCCCTTGGTGCGCCTTGGTCATAACTAGCTAGTTTGTTTTTGTGAGCTTTGTTCTCACGTTTGTTATTCATGGCTCTTGTACCTATATTTGTTTTGTGGCTTTAGTCACGTTTGATTACTTATCCTCGTGGACTGTGTGTCTATGTTTGTTTTGTGACTTCGGTTACGTTTAATTATTTACCCTCGTGGACTGTGTGTCCATGTTTGTAAGTTGTTTTGATAAATCCACCCAAAATATATGAATTTTTAATTAATTGTTGATTTCATACGTAATGGTTTGTAATTTAGTAAATATTGTTATTCTTATTTGTTTATTTAATCATTTTAACTTGTCAAGATCCAACGTTTAAAACTGCTTTGTTATTATAAATTTAAAGTTTACTGATGTTAAAGTTATATAGAATTTTTTTTTTCAACTTTACAAAATTTGTTTACATTGAATTGTTTTTTTTATTTATGTAAATGTTGCAACTATTAAATTTGATTTTTGAAAAATGTTATGGTTAGTATTTTATTCACTGAAAAGTTATTTTGATCTTAGATAGTATAGCTGATGCTATGTCTTACTAACCACTAAAGGACTTCTTTTGTTAGGTTGCATGTAAATTAGTTTTGTAAATATTTTCTATCTATGCAAATATGGAATTTATGTATTACATTATGAAATATATGATTAGATGCTTCACATAGACTATAGTTAGAGTCCTAATCTTTATATTATGATGTTTAACTATTGTTGAGAAGCGAGTTCCCTTTTGTTAAATTGATGTTGTAAATTTGTGTTGTAAATTTTGGAAAAAAATTCTATTTTCACAGGAAGTTCTACCAAAAATTTTGTTTAAAAGATTGGTGATTTGTAGCTTTTATAAAAGTATATATAGTTGTGTACTTATATTAATTACATATTCAAATATTAGAATTAGAGTTCTCTTGAGTTAAGGATTTTGGAATATGGAGTATTATTCCTCTATTTTGTACCAGTCTCGGCTTATTTTTTGGGTGTGACAGGGAAGATAGGAATTCTCACCTAGATAGCAATTTTGAACTTTGTTGCTGAACGGATTAAAGTTGGAGCTCCAACGTTGCACTGCTAAATAATGGCCTTGGATCACCCAAGGACTCTCGTTTAAAAATCTAAGAAACAGCTTCATGTTTTCGGTCCTCAATGCAAAATAGTTATCGGCCATGTCTATGATTTCAAACTCATTTTATCCCAACATAACTTCGAGTCTCCTCCTTATATCATCCAAACATATTCTTTTACCCAAAAGTGTCAGAATCAACGCATCTTTTCACGGTAAGCAAAGTTTCTTCCATTGTGCATCATTCATTTCAACTTACATATTTCATCAAAGAGTTTCTTTTTGTTTTCATCTAGTTCTGGAAAAGCTTCATTTTCTTCCTTCAACCAGTCTTTGAATAAAGCTTCAAAGTCCTCTTCAACCTCCATGCAGTCCTATCCAACCAGAGACTCATGATATGAGATTTGATTTTAGAAGGGCCCCCATCAGTACTAGCAGCCTTTTGAGATTTCAACGCCCATCTTCAACCATTTCAACATCAATATTCCTAACATCGGACTTCTGTTTCTCTTGGTCATATACCTTATTGACACTACGCTCCAGAGCATCTTCCTCATCCTTCAAAAGCCCACCTTCACCATCTCCGACCACCTTTTTGGTAGGAACCTTCTATGGGCAAATGAAACCCTACTCTCTCGCTCTCTTGCTCATCGCTCTGTTTTTCTCTATTTTTTAAGATAAAAACAAAGCTAATTGAACGTTCTTACATCTACGTTAGAAATACCAATTTCTATTATATATACTATCTTTTCACTTTCTTTGGTACATGGTTAAGATGAAGGCAGTCCAAAATTGTTTATTTTAGGTCTCATGTACCGAAGACAGTTAACATTTCCCTCAACCATGACATCAATGAATTGTTAAAGCAAAAAAATTAATCATTTAGTTTTTTCAGTGTTGATTGAATTAATTTTTAATGTTTGAAGCTAAGTTCAACATAAACCAATTCCTTATTTTAACCACATAAGTATTAAGACCTAGTAATTATTCTCGAGTGTATAGAATTTATTAAGTAGATAAAACTTGAAAGATTGAGTCAAGTAAGTTTAACTTCAAATTATAATCAAGATAAAATTACATGAACTAAATGATTAATTTTCTTTTTATCAAACAAATCTATGTATGAATTGTCAAACCAATTTAATTCTATTATCTTGAACATGATCCCAAACCCCAAAAAAAAAAAATGACCATATTATTGTTAGTATTGGGGATACATATACTAATAATTTCCCAAATTATTTTTAACCTTGTAATAGTCTGAGATACCCATATTAACTGATCATTGCAGGTCTGAGTTGCTACGATGTTGTGAGACACTCATGATCAAAGTCACTATCACTACCAAACTTGGTTCTCCCACCCCTCCCCTATTTGCCATATATCCTTCACTTAATGCCACCTCATCTTCAATTAACCATTTCCAAATCTATTAAGAAAGATTCAGAAAGTAAAGTTCTCTTTGCTCACGACACTCCATTACATTAAATTAAAGCATACATTTACCTTTGGGCTCAACCCAAGGCTTCAAGAAGCTAATGGTTGCAGACACACGAGGTGCACAAGAAAAAAGTCGCACGTGGTGATTACATTTGAGGCATTCTTTTTCACAACTAAAACAAGTCTTGCTAGGTTGCGTTCTTTCTGATTCCATTATTAACAGTTATCATCTTTTGGCTTGTATCCTTCTGATCCGAAACAAGAACACAGTCCAGACACATTGCATCATCTTCAAAGCACACTGGAAAGAAAACTATTGATACATTAGTGATATATGCAGAGAATGAATGAGACAGAGAGGTTTGATTTGAACCTAAAATACTCCTTGTCATCCAGGAAACAGTTTGATCCGATGGGTTATCTCCTCCCGACATATAGGACACATGGACAGCATCTTCCCACATTCTTCACAAGACTGCATAAGAATAACATAATAATCATCATTCTCATAATGCAAAGAGAAAAGGCAATGAAATCTTTCTGTTAAGAGTTATTACCATGTGTCCACATCCAAAAGCCATGTCCTTTTCATTGGTCAGACATATCACACAATCCTGCACATCATTGTAAATGCAGTTTTTCTTATTTCAGATTTAGCATTGTTAAACATACAAGAAATACTGCCATGCATTGTACTGACTAATCTTTGGAGAAACTTGTTAAGTTTATGGTGTGTTTGAATTAGCGAGGGTTTGGATTGGATTTGAATTTGAACTAAATCCCTCATTCACAAAAATTTGTGCATTTGGATTATTCAAATTCAAACCCATTTCAAATTATAATTTCTTTGTAATTTCAAATTTCTTTTACACCCAAGTTATTTGAAAATCTAATCCTTTCAAACATCTCATTCTCTTTGTGTTTTTACAATTGATACCTCTATGATTCTCATATCTTTTCTTATCTTTTGTCGATTAAAAAATAGAAATACACTTATCATTTCTAATTTTTCATTTTCATTTCAAATCTTAATTCATTTATCTTCATTTAAAATTTTCAAAACAATCCAAATAAAAATTTTAAATACATGAATTTCAAATGCAAGAGATTTAAAATCCAAATCCAAATGATACCTTATATAACAATGTCCTTTGGAAAGGAATGAACAAATCTCTCTTACCATATTACTTACTACAATATTTATAAACATAAATCAGGATGCCAATCATTCCAGTATATTAGCAGTACTCAATTTAGTCAACAACTGCATATTGCATCAGATAAAACTTTTTAAGTTCTTCAAATATTTGCTATTAAGTTTTTGAATAAAAATATAGCAAGTACATAACCATTTTTTAGATACCTGAATCATGTGATGTTGATTTGTAAATTTTTAATGAAGAACCTGAGGGTATAAACTTCAAAATTACATCCAAATTTTTCTCTGTGGCATGTTGAATTCATCATTTCATCTCTGTTCAAGAGTTGTAGATGTTACATACATAAGTTGTATGACTTACCATTTACCTCAAACCAGTCAGAAAGATATTAAGAAACAAGAAACTTATAAATAAGCCAGGTACCCACTTAGTGAGAAAGAAATCATTCTCACATGAGGCAAAATATTCATAACCATCTGAAGATTTAATTTCCTTCTCAAGATAAGAGTGTCTTGCCGAAGGAGCATATCGGGATAAGAAATGATGAATTATTAGGTAGATTCACTATTTAAAACATATGTATATTAACCTAATCATGAACAAACATGTAAGCATGACACGTGAATTGAAAAAGTTAAGTGGTTAACCAACATACTTGTATGCTAATTTATGATCAGTTTGGTCTGTTTTTGTAAAAAGGATCTGTTTAATATATTTTTTATTTAGATACCCGGGCAGCAGCAGAACTCGATGACGCAGCTGTGGCAGCATTAAGGGCATCAGCTAACTCTTGTTCTTTTTCTTCAACCTGTCTCATGGCACTTTCTCTAGTCTCCCGACATTCCACTTTTAGCAACTGCACAAGCTCAAGCTTTTCTTGCAACTGTTTCTTCGCTCTAATCCATTCATTCTAAACATAAAAAGTTACAAATTAATGGTCAAGTAGACCCTTCAATCCATCCTAAAATATTCTTTATGCACATAATATTTTAGTATAATTGTCAACAACAAAAATCATTAGGCGGGGAAGCAAATCTCTCTCAGCCAAATATGAAGAAACATTAATTTTGACTTACATTTAAGAGCACTGCCAAAAAAAAAAATCTATAATCATCCAGCCCGGTTAGTGATAATATTTTCACAATTTCAAAGATACAAATTCAATGTAAATAAGTTTTTTTTTTTTTTGGTGCAAAGCAGTCATTACCTGAGCAATGTCAGCATCATTTTGAGCATGCTCAGCTTCTTTTCTGGCAGCATCTAATTCTTCACTTATCTCTTGAACTTGCATTATAGTACCTTCTCTTATATCCGTAATTTCCAACTTTAGCAGCTTGACAAGCTCTTCCTTTTCCTTCAACTCTCTCTTCACCTTGGCCCATTCATTCTAAACATAGAAGTAACCAGTTAATCTCATCCTAAACAATGCTTAAGTACACACAACTGTTTATGCAATCACACCACGTCAACACATACAATCATTCAAAGAAAATTGAGTTACAAGTAGCATTCAAATACTAGGTAACATGTAACATCAATCTTGTAAATCTTGGAATAAGAAACTGAACAGAAACTAACAATTTCTTATCATTCATCCCTGTTAGTAATAATATTTTCACGATTTTAAAATTACAAATGAATCCTATATTTTGTTATCATATTGATACAACTCCGTATAAGTTAGTTCATATTATCAATGTGTCTAGAATGTGACGGGGAAAATCAACAGAATTAGTACCTCAGCAATGTCAGCATCTTTTCGAGCATGTTGAGCTTCTTTACGAGCATTGGCTAATTCTTGATCTATCTTTTCAATTTGTCTCTTGGCCAGTTCTGCCTCATCATCTTTCTCAATTATAAGCCTTTGGACGGTTTTTCCTTCTTCAATCAGCATTCTTTTAAGTTTAGCACATTCACTCTGCAAAATTAGCAAAAGCTTTAACAGAAAGGAAATGGAGTGATACGGATGAAGTGTCAAATTCAATTTCAATGGGAAGACAGAAAAGATAGTTAAAGATAAAAAAATTATGCGCATTTCTTCACAAATTAAATACACTGAAGGCTTTATTACTTTTTTCTCATACAATTTTTAAACATAAATCTGTAAGTTTTAGATTAAAAAGAAAATTTAAATATCACACTACTTTCAAACATAGCCTCTCTAAAAAAATCTCTAGCTAGATAATTATAGCATGTTTCCCTTAACAACTAAAGGCAAGAAAAAATGTTTACTTTTATTTTGACTGTCCACGTTTGATGAAGGCGAATATTTTCTTTTAAATTGTAGAAGGATCACAGTTACCACTGCGAGTGAATCATAATGATTTTATTTTCTGATAATCCTGAATCAGAAATGGAGAAGAAATTCATCTGAATAAACAAGAATAAAAAAGTACAAACGTAATCCAATTATATACTTCTTTTAGTTTGTCTTATACGGTGATTTAAAAATTAAAAAAAAATTAAAACAATTAAATAAGTATCAACCAAAGACCAGCTGCTTCTTTATGATTCAGTTTTGTAAATAATTGTTAAAAAAGGCTCTCTAGAACATTTATCTAGAATACAATACATTTATCTAAAGTTCACCTCAGCAATCGCAGAAGCATTAAGAGCATTGGCTAACTTCAGTGCCTTCTCTTCATCTTGCCTACTGGCACTTTCTCTTATCTCTTGACATTGCAATTCCAGCAATTTGACATGCTCTTCCATATTCTTCAAATCTCTCTTCACCTTAGTCCATTCACTCTGGATACAAAAATTTCCAATTAATAGCCATTTAAGTGCTTCAATCAATCCTAAACAATTCTCACACATAATATTTTATAATTGTTCACATCAAAATATTAAATCATTTGAAGATTCAAATGACAGATAAAATCATAGATTAAGAATGCACAAACTGAATGTCTGTCACTCTGACTCATGTTTTGTTATCAAACTGATGGCAAATGCATGTAAGTTGGTTCATATTGTTAATCTACAATATAGTATATGAATATTATAAAAGTAAGGGAGAAAATATGAACATAATGAGTACCTCAGCAGCATCAGCATCTTTTCGAGCTAACTCAGCATCTTTTTGAGCATGGGCTAGTTCTTGATCAATCTCTTCAATTTGCCTCTTGGCTACCTGCACCTCATCATCTTTCTCAAGTCTAAGCTTTTGTACAAGTTTTTGCTCTTCTTCCAGCATTCTCGCAAGTCTAGCACATTCACGCTGTAAGATTGCACATGAATTAATAACGGTAGGGAAGTCATACAGTTAAACTGTCATAGCAAACCCAAATGAGAAAAAAAAAATATACGAATTTCTTTACCAATTACAAACATAAAGCAACGAACATTGAGTAATATTATTTTTCATATTTTCATAAATTTTACTGCTTTTTTTTTTTAAAAAAAAAAAAACCAACGTCAAAATCACATTTTCAAATGTTCTCTTGTGATTCAGTTATGTAAATACTTGATAGAAAATGTTCCCTAGAACATTTATCTAGAATACAATACATTTATCTAAATTTCACCTCAGCAATCGCAGAAGCATTAAGAGCATTGGCCAACTTCAGTGCCTTCTCTTCATCTTGCCTACTGGCACTTTCTCTTATCTCTTGACATTGCAATTCCAGAAATTTGACATGCCCTTGCATGTTCTTCAAATCTCTCTTCACCTTAGTCCATTCACTCTGGATACAAAAATTTCCAATCAATAGCCATTTAAAGTGCTTCCATCAACCCTAAACAGTTCTTACACATAATGTTTTATAATTTCTCAAATAATATTTAATCATATGAAGATTCAAATGACAGATAGAATCATAGATTAAAAATGTAATGACTCCCAAAAAAAAAAAAATTCTTTCAATTGGTATTTATTTAAACTAGTTTTATAACAACTGGAGAGTGGTCGGTTAGTGAAAATTATGCTAGTAGTTTTCTTAAAAAGTCTAGAGTTCAAATTTTACTAAGAAAAAATTTAGTGTTATTTTGTTTTAATTTATAAAAAAAATTTATGCCCTTTTGGTAATTTTTATTGTGTTCTCTTTTGTAATTTTCTTTATGCTCCTTTTGGTAATATGCCCAATTTCCTAATACTTAGATATTTCTTCTATCCTCTGCAATTAAAGCCCCAGAGCATCGAGAAATTTCGAATTCTTCACGCATTCTCAACCTTCTCTCCTTCTCGCCATCGTTCTTCATTCCTTCTCTCCTCCAGGCTGTCGTTCTTCGTTCTTTCTCTCCTCCTCGCTGTCTTCCGTCTGTTCCTTTTCCACTCCCGTCCATATGCCACGATGAAGGAGAAATACTGCAGCTCATTTATTTTCCTTCTCTGCTCTGAGGCTGTCAGTGGTGAGTGTGTGAATTTTGATCTCATCATCCTTCCTCCTCAACTACTAAACGTCCGTGTATGTGTGGATTATAAGCTTAAGTCTTTCCATTTTTTCGTTAGTAATTTCTGCTTCTCACCCTCTTCGAAGAACAGCTGGGCGGAATTCTTCTCTCCTTCGGTGGTCCATGAGCTGAAATGTGACAGTTTCCACTGCACTTTGGTAGAGGTAAAACACTGATTCTTCCTCTTCTCCTTCGATTTCAATAGCTACGTGAATTATTCTTTTTCCTTCACTAGTCTAGGATGGTGCTCTGTTCTTTAATATTTTTGTCGTGACATTGGTAGGAAGACTTAGCTGTTGTTTTGGTTGTTGTTGGAGGCTAATTTATTAATTATGTTGAGCTGAAAATGTTGTGAAGAAATTAAATGTTGGAAATTATTGATTTTGTTTGGATGCTAGTCATATAATTTAGTTAAATGTGAATGTTCTTATAGTGCTTGTAGGAATGCTTGAAAGAAAAAATTGATGGGAATAAGATTGTTTAATTTTCATTACTAGAGCCTAAAGGAATTATATATGGTACTTGAGGAAGTATATGTTTTCATGTAATTTGTGAAGTTGATCTACCCATTAAAATTTGTACAGCACCTAAAGGGAAATTGCTAGACTAAATGATAATTAAGATTTTGTTAAGCTTGGATTAAAAGCTGTGTTAATGATCGAGATTGAATGCTGCCAAGTACTGTTGATTACTTGATAGAATTTATTAGAGTATTTAACGAGAGTTTGAGGGGTTAATGAGAAAATTTAAAGAATCATTGAAGAGTTTGAATATTAATTCACTTGCATATATGAAGAAGGGAAATCACAATGACATAAAAGTTATTGATTTAAATGCTACGTTAAATTAGAACATCACTGAAATAAGCGTGAAATTGAGAAAGTCTAACCATGAGATTATAAAAAACTCTCAGAGGAGTAGGTAGCATTCCGAATAAATCTATAGTAAAATATTTATAAAATTTCTTTATTTAAATTTTAATATTATTCTTTTATAGGCGGTATAAATATTCTTGCAAATTTTATTTTTTATAATAATTGATTTATAAATGATGATTTCTTGATTTTGGCCATGATTTATGTTATTGCCAAGTAATGATTGAAGTTGGTATGTGACAAATAGTATTACATCTCAAAAGTAACTTATTTAATAAATTTTATGTTTGATATGAAAATTTTTTAAAATGACAATTTGTGCATGGAGGATAGGAAGATGAACATAAGAAATGGAAAATAATTGTTGAACAACTTATTTAAAAGTGGAAAATTTTGAAGTTTTTATTCCGGCTCCATGCACGCTTGATTTTAATTAGGGAGACTGAATTTAGAACACTGAATGCTAACAGCAGTTTTGTTAACCCTTGGCCCGCCATGGTATACCTAGCTAATAGGATGCACTGAAAATGCTAGCCCCGTGTGATGGCCAACACACATGGAATGAAGGATGTAGTTTTGTGGATATAATCCACACCTGTTATTTGTAAGCTTTATACTTGTGCCTGTTTTTCGTGGCTTCTTGCCACTCCAGATATGTTACTTACCTCGTAGACTGTGTGTCCACGCTTGTTATTCGTTCAGATAAAACCTTCTTAGATTGAGCTTAAAACTTATCGTTTTTATACTAATTTCTTTAAAGGCATTTTTTAAAAATCGCATCATTAGCTGAAATTTTATATATATTATAATTTTTTTTATAAACTTATCTGGTTCTAATATTGTTGTTGGTTCCATGATTTTACCGTTAAGCAAACTTGTCATTTATTGTCAATTAAAGCAAGTGTTTCATTATTTCCTTGATTTGTTTAAATTAAATTATTATTTACTATTTTCACATTTTTATTTTTATTTATTAAATTATTATTTATAAACTCGATCGGAATGCTACTCACAAAAAAAAAATTTTGGTCTCAGATATTGTAGTTGACCTTGTGCCTTCTGCTAATCATCAAGGGCAGTATTGTTTTTCAGATAGTGGAAGCACTTTTTGACCATTCATTTTGATATAATTATATATTATATTAAAATTATAAATTTAGCACTCCACGTATATCATAGTTAAGTCTTAATTTTATTTTGTTAATATAAATCTACTGGTCTGGAGCTAAACTCATTTCTGGTTTGGCTAGCAGGTTTTGCTACTGTAGAAATTGTGGGAGGTCCTAATTACCGGGGGATTCTATCAAAATTTTTATAAAATGTGTAATACTTTACAAACTTTATAAATTATATATCGATAATTTACTTTAATCTTGGATTAATTAAGGCTTATAGAATGTGAGTGTATCTCATATTTTGTGTCAATTACACCCTTAGTAATAGGGTGTGACAAAAAAGCTGTGCACAAATTGAATTTCTATCACTCAGACTCTTATATTTTGTAATCAAATTGATTGCAAATGTATGTAAGTTGGTTCATATTGTTAATCTAAAATATGGTAGATAAATATTATAAAAGTAAGGGAGAAAATAAGAACATAATGAGTACCTCAGCAGCATCAGCATCTTTTCGAGCTAACTTGGCCTCTTTTCGAGCACGGGCTAATTCTTCATCAATCTCTTCAATTTGCCTCTTGGCTAGCTGCATCTCATCATCTTTCTCACGTCTAAGCCTTTGTACAAGTTTTTGCTCTTCTTCCAGCATTCTCGTAAGTCTAGCACATTCACGCTGTAAGATTACATATGAATTAATAACGGTAGGGAAGTGATACAGTTAAACTGTCATACCAAACCCAAATGAAAAAAAAAAAAAGTATACAAATTTCTTTACCAAATACAAAATAAAGCAACTAACATTAGAGTAACATTATTTTTCAAATTTTTATAAATTTTACTTTTTTTTGGGTTAAAGTATACATTTAGTCCATTAACTTTATATGTTTCATTTTAGTCCTTTAATTTTATAAAATATCTTTTTAATTCTTTAACTCTAATATTATTAGTTTTATTCCAACAAATTTTTACGTTAAACTTTCAAATATTGACAAAACATTTTCAAATATTAATATATTAAGTTTAATTTTTTTAAAATAACAATGACTAACACAAAAAATAATCATTTGAAACTAACGATATTAGGGTTAAATGACTAAAAAAAATACTCTACAAAAATAAAGGACCAAATTGAAACTTTATACAAAGTTAGAAGAGTAAAAATATACTTTTAGCCCTAAAAAAACATCAAAATCACATTTTCAAATGCAGCCTAAGTCACTAGCCACATAATTATAGCATGTTTCACCTAAGAAAGAAAGATAAGAGAAAATAGTAATGTTTTCTCTTTTTTTTATTGGTACTTGATAATGGCATACATTTGCTTTAAAATGATGGAAGGATCTAATTTCCCACTGGATAAGGGAAGCATTAAGTAAGAGCTTGCTAAACGAAGAAACAATATGAAAAAGTACAGATATAATCCAACTATTCAAGTATAGATGTTTCAGCTATTTCCTGCAGGTTATCCCTTCTTTTTTAATAAGCTTCAAAGACTTTTAAGTTTGAAAATTTTTTAAAATTGAACAAATGTTAATATTCGATGAAAAACCAAATTCCTTATTTGTTACAGCTTTCGGAAATATTAGCAATAAATTCTTTTAAAAGTTTATGTCAAATAAGATAACATGCAATATTAATAGAGGTAGGCAAACTCAAAGGTAATTAAAATAAATAGTAACAACAAGGAATACCTCAGCAATTTCAGAAGCAAGTAGGGCATTGGCTAACTCTCGTTCCTTCTCTTCAACTTGTCTCATGGTGCTTTTTCTTGTCTCATCACATTCTGGCTTTGGCAATTGCAAAAGCTGTCTCTGCTCTTGCAACTCTTTCTTTGCCTTAATCCATTCATTCTAAACATTAAAGCTACCCATTAATAGCCACTTAAGAGTTTCCATGCATCCTATACTATTATTGAAGTGCACAAAAGATACCCATTGTCATTGCTCCTCATCAATATATAGAACCATAGAGAGGAGAGTTAGTTCTGAGTAGAATTTTAAATAACAGGCATAAAAAAACTGCTAGGATATAGTCTATGAAAGAAGCACAAGCCAAATGCACAGAAGGAGAAACAGGGAAAGAGGTATAAAATACTTTCACATAGTAAATATGGCAAAAGAAGGTGATGGAGAAAAAAATGAAAGAAAAGCAGAAAGCAAATCACCATTGACCTAACCAGCACACAGTCCCAATTACCTTCTTCTTATATTCTTGACATGTGAGATTATCACCATTCTCACCATATTCCAATCATTATTCCCCGATACAAATCAACCTTGTCTGTTGGATTAAAAAAGAAAATCAACCTTGTCCTCAATGTTGAGCTAGACACTGAACAACATTAAAAGAAAGACATGCATAACCATGTCTTGCCACCCAAACCAGGCACAGCAAATTCCTTTCCACTGGATCATTGAGAAACTAGTAGATATCTTTAATGAGTAAAAACTAAGTTACTTACTATCCACTTGCCATACTAAAAATTAAATATTAATCTGGTAACGAGGAAGACACACAGGAGACAAGAAATGTCTTCCAACACGTAGCTGCTATGCGTGAATGGACATACCTTGTTTTTCTGTTCAGTACCCTTTCTGCCTTATATTTGGTTTCTTCTCTCTTTTCTTCTGCCACAATATTAAGAAGATTCTGTGTCTCCCTCTACATTTCCTCCCTCTAATCTCTTCTATGTCATCTCTCTCTGCTCTCTATATCAGCTCCTCTCTCTATCAGTCTATTCTCTCATGCCCATGTCTCTTCTCACCTGTCATTTGCCTTTTTTATCCCCCTCTTTAGCTCTGTAATTTCTTCCATTAGATCTTGGATTTCAAGGTAAACTTTGGATGTCTTGCGAAAACAAAAACAAAACAAAGCAAAAACAAAATGGTGCACCATTGGAGAAGCGAACACCTCATTATCAGAGCAGTCAATTCATCCCTGGTCAAAAGTAAAAATAAATGGCCTCACCAAATTTGACTCATGAAAACTGGCAATGCAGACACCTTGCAGCAGAATAATCATAATTGTAGTAACATTGCCTCAATGCTCTACATCTTTGACTCAGCCTGATTCATAATGATCCTCATTTGAATGATCTCACTATTGATGGATCCCAAATCTTCGTCAATTTTGTCCAGACAATTGATGAAAGCAGCAATTGTAAGGATCTAACCTATCAAAGAGGCATTGATAAAATGCAAAGAGAATCCTATTCTTCCTCTGAATCCGGAAGGAACTCCACTGGCTTTTTCACCCAATTAAAACAAGAATATCCATATCCCTCCTTAAGAGTGACTTCCATAACACCCGCGCAACTCAAACCTCAACCTAACCAAACACAATCACATTGTGTTGACTCTCCATTCTTCAAAATTCCTTTCCATTGAACGAAATCATAATTCCTACTTCCCACCATAACCCCAATTATGCACAAATAGAAATTCTCCATCATTCAGATTGGTTTGTATAAATCTTTAAATCACAAGAATCCTGTATTTTTCTTTTTGCAATGATCATAACTCCTTCTAAACTAGGTCACTTTGTTTATTTGTCTAAAAAATGATAGATAAATTATTATAAGATAAATGAAACAAGATATCAACACAGATCGTACCTCAGCGACATCAGCTCTAGTAGTAGCATACTCAGCATTTTTTCGCATGTCAGCTAATTCTTGACCTATCCCTTCAATTTGTCTCTTAGCTAGCTGTGCCTCATCATGTTTCTCAAGTTTAAGCCTTTGGACAAGTTTTTGCTCTTCTTCCAGCGTTATCCTCAATTTCTCACATTCACTCTGTCCAACATAAAAGTAATCGAGTGATACAGGAAATCATCACATTTGAATCAAATGGAAGGGGGGGGGGGGAACTCAATCATCAACAAATATGCATCGGTACATACATTCTCAACTTACAAGCATCAAAGGAACTAATATTAGAGCAACATCACTTTCATCTTTTCATGAATTTTGCCAAATCAAAATTTCTAGTTTTTAACATAACAAAAGCCAACTTAAAACTCAAATTATTTTCAAATGCATCATCACATTTTATAAAACCACACGCAACAAAATTGCATCATGGTTAGCCCAACTATGAGAAATAAATAAATAATTATGTTAAATTATTTATTTCATACTCTGTGTTTCACATAAATGCATGCACTTGCTTTTAATTTACAGATGGATAAAATTATCCGCCCTACGAGAAGCAACTAGAAACAGGAAAAAAAGACATTTTCAACAACATAAACACATAAAGTACAAATAAAAGCCAACCATATACTTCTTTCAAACATGTCTTTTTTCTTGTCCCAAAAAAAAAGTCTTTTTTTAAGATTTAACAGAAAGCAGTGCTTTTCAAAATGATCGACCAAATACTAATCAATGATAAAGGAACTTGCAAGAAAATTTGGTGGGATGCTAACCGCTTCTTTATTGTAGAGTTTTAGCAAACACTAAATTTAAAAAAAAAAAAACTTCAAAAGGTTTATCAGGATTAAAATTCATCTTTCAAGCAGGAAACAAACTACAAAAAATATTCTGAGAAAATAACTGGGACAACGACAATTCGACAAATACCTCAGCAACTGCAGCAGCATTAAGGGCATTGGCTAGCTCTTGCTCTTTGTTGTCAACCTGTCTCAGTACGATTTGCCTTGTCTCCTCACTTTCTGGCCTTGGCAACCGCACAAGCTCTTGAGCTTCTCGTAATTCTCTCTTTAACTTAACCCATTCATTCTTATAAACGTAAAAAGATACCAATCAATAGCCACTTATGTACTTTAATCTATCCTAAATAATTTTCAAAGGGCTTGTAATATCTTATCATAACTGATCACATAAATACAAAGAATCATTTGGGGAGGACATTAGCTAAGGGTAAAATTTGAATGACAGATAAAAAACCAATTTTAATTTGAGAATTCTCAAATTTATGAGCGGCGCACAAATAAATTTATCACACAGCCTTGTTAGTCTAAATATTGTGAAAATTTTAACATCAGAAATGAAGAATCCTGTAATACAATGCCTTGTAAGTTTGTCTAAGATATGATATAATATATATATATATATATAACTGTGGGGAGGGGGCTCAAGACAAGCCAAAACCTCAGCAACATCAGCTCTGGTTGCAGCGTACTCAACATCTTTTTGAGCCTCTGCTAATCGTTGACTCATCCTTTCAAATTTTCTCTTGGCCATTTGTGCTTCATCTTCTTTTTCTTGTTTAAGCCTTTGCACAAGCTTTCTCTCTTCTTCCAGCAGCCTCCTCAATTTAGCACATTCAGTCTGTAAAGTTAGCAACAGCTCCAACTATAAGGGAGTGATAGAGTTGAAGTATCACATACAATTCAAATGGAAAAGCAAGACACGATTATCAATACATATACATATTTCTTCACAAATTACAAACAAATCCCCTCAGCCCTATCACCTCCCCCACCCCCCAAAAAAAAATAAATAAAAAAACTTTGGAACAAAATCAAAATAAAAAAGTATTGACATAATCCGAATGGAACATATACATGAAATAAAAGTAACACCCAGAAATACCTCGGCGGCGGCGGCGGCATTAAGGGCATTGACGAACTCTACAGCCATCTCCTGAACTTGTCTCATCTCATGCAACTTATCTTTTCTCCTGAAATTCCAGCTTTATCAATTCGATTAGCTCTTCCTATTCTTGCAACTTCCTTTTTGCCTTAATCTACTCATTCGGGAACGAAACAAAGGTAAAAGCCAATATCATTGTTGTGAAATGAGGGGAAAAGGTCCATAGAACCCGATTTGGGTATCTACATAAAGATCACGTAACAAGAGTGAGAGAACCAATTGCACAAACACCCCAAAAAAAAAAATTGATCACTCTCGTCAGTTCTTACAGGTTTCTAATTGCAGAGCGCATCAAGCAAGTAATGTGGTAGAAATATCACAAAATATTGAATCTACATGAGAAATATACTCACAAAGACAAGTCTGCACTTGCAGTTTTGCTGTTTCTGACACTCTTGCCCGCGAAAAAACTGTGAACTGTTCAGCAAGTGGAAAGCTTAGAGTGGATGAAGCTTCCTGTTTTTCTGGTCAAGAAATTGTTGAAGCTTCCTTAGTGGTGACCCTGACCGAAGCCAGAAGAAAGTAGGGGAATCAGAAATAGCAAACTGTAAGTAAAACATTCAAAGGCAAAGGAGAAAGGGAAAAGCAGGGAGTGAGGGGAAAGTAGACCACGACTTGCTGTTGACGTTTCAAGGAAGGAACCTCTGTAATCATTTCCTCTTACAGGATTAAATCAAATCATATTGTACGAAAGATTCCCTAATTATATATTATATGATTTTAAAAAAACAATATTGCTGATGTTGTTATTGAATTTTTTATATTATTTTTCAGCCACCTAATTGGACGGGGACCGAAATTTTCATGTCCATACTTCTTTTATTTTAAAATATAAAATATTTTTAATCAAATCTCATCTTCTAAAAAATAATTATTTATTTTTAAATTAATTATATTTTTTATATTTATATTTATTAAACACTATATAATAAATATAAAATCATTCATTAATAGGGGTATTTTAAAAAAAATATAATGATTACACTTCAAAAGATTAAAAATATTTTATATTTTTTATCATTCAACTCTTCAAAAAATACTTTATATATTTAAACGGAGAAAATATCAATTGATAAGAAAGTAAATTACTGGTAATGTATAAAATTTGAAATATATTTAATCAAATAATCTAATTATTTTAATTTATACATTTCAAATTTTATATATATTTTATTAGGTATTAAATATGTGCACTTCTTCTAATAGGATATTCAAATCTTATTTGTCATACTGTAAAAAATTAATTTCCTTTCATTAAACTCAATCTTATCCCTTAAACAATTAAAAAATCATGCTTTGAACATGGGAGAAAATTTTAATGTTGTCCAATGGGATAGAACTCAAACGTATAATTAAAAAAAGGGGGATAGAGATCAAATGAACAAATCAATATTATATTATATTAGGAGAATTACATCTATATTTTAAAATATTAAATTAATGATATTTAAATTTCAAATATAATTTTTTAAAAAATAATTGAAAAAATCTGAAAAATAGAATTGCAAATGTAAAAGTTTTATTTAAAAATGCATGTTTAAGTATCAAATATAACTATTAGGTTGTAATAGAAATTTCTATTTATAATTATTTAAATTGATATATAAAATTCTTTTTTAGAAAAATTGTCAAATAATTATTATTAATTCAGTTTTTTAGGACTTAACTATAATTAATTTTTTGAGATCTAATTATCACTCTTCCTATTATATTAGTATTTCTAAACGAAGATTATTCTTGAATGGTTTGGTGAATTTATATGAGCATTTAGAATCCTTTTACAAGGTAAATTACTTAATAAAAAATCATTCCTACTATCTGACACTCAAAATCATTTCTATTATTGAACAAGGGGAAAAAAAAAAGTCATTCCTCGTGTTAAGAAGAATTAAAAAACTATTTCATAATGAGAATTTTATTTTTAAAAATGATTCTAAAGATGAAACAAAATAGAGTCCTTCACCGAATATAATTATAAGAATGTGCAATTGTTGATTGCATTGAGGTGTAGCCTAGTCCGTTGGATTCAAGATTGAGGGAATGTTTTGGGCTTTTGCATCAGGCAGTTATTGGTTCTGCTACCCTCGTCATCTATTCAACATTTGGGCAAAAACGTTGGGAAAAATTACAATTCTCTGCAGAGAAGATTAATTGCTTTGCAGCGTTAAATAATTTTAATTTAATATTACCATACAGGATCAAAAAATTTAAATATAATTAAAACTTTATTATGAAAAGACAAAATTATCACATGTGTGTGTGTATCTACTATTTTAACGAGTTCTCATTCAAAAAAAAATAACTTTTATTTTTATTTTAACATTATTCACTATAAAAATTAACTTGTTAGTGTAAAGAAACAAGTATTGTGATGCGGTGAATAAGTCTTCATTTAAGAAAAAATAAGAGGAGAATGACAGTTAAAAACCCCATAAGGACATTAATCCCAATTAGGGACCTTAAAAAATACAAATTCCAAATAAGGACCGTAAATAAAATTGTTGAAAATGCCCCTGAGTTCAAAACAAAGGTACCCGCTCATGAGAAAGCCCTATTCGTGCTCTATTTCGGCATCTTCCTCGATTGCTCCTTCTTGTCGTGGCTCGGCCGCCTACTTTTATCGCTGATCAAGGTATCCATATCAGCTCCAGGGGTGCGCAGTCACCGGTGAGAGGTCCTCTATTGTTGCTCCCATTTTCAATTTGGTGTGCGTGCTTTATGGTCGGTGCCCCCACTTCTCTTCTTCCAAGTTCGGTGCCTCTCTCTCTCTCTCTCTCTCCTTCCCTCTCTCGGTCTGTTCTTCGATGGGGGAGAGACTGATTTTGTGTTTGTTGTTGATGTGCATTTTTTTCCTAGTGTCATTCCAGCAAGGCATTTGCAAAAGAGAAGAAACTACAATAATATTGACTTGTGATCCCAAAATGGTTGCATATTTCTTTATATTTATGTGATATTCGAACCTAATTTTTGCTCTATTCTATGATTTTGCCATGAATTTGAGAAGAAGTGAGAATATTGTAGTAATATTTTTGCTCTGTTCGTTTGCTGGCCGAGCACATATACTGGCAATGAACTGGAAATTTGTAACATTTGGTTATGTGTCTTTCAACAAATGATGAAACTCGGCCCAGAGCTGGCTCTTTTAAAACATAGGGCCGTTACAAAAAGGAGAAAGGCACTGCTTAACAAGGACTTTAGACTCTTCCTTGATTCCTTCCATGTGTTGCATCGAAACTTAGGTTCTACATTGGCATGTTTGGTGTTTAGTCTCTATATTGAAAAAGGTTTACTTTTCATAATACAAGAAAAATATAAATATAGATTGTAGCAGAAATGTGGATAAGATATTATAGACTAATAAAATAATTAAAAATAAAAGTTTGGCAAGGTTCTTCCGACTTGAAAATTTGCTTGTGTAAAAGACAAATGCAATCTTGACCAAAAAATTAGTGACGTTAGGGAGGCTGTGACTATGACTTTCCTTGACCCTCCAATGTTCTATGAAGAAAAATTCAATTTCGTGTTTGGTAAATCTAATAGTGTTATTTTGTGTATTTATTAATGATGTTAGATATATTCAATAGTAGTTTGTTTTTTTACCCTAATTGTTTGTGTGCAGGATAATGGCTAAAATAAAAGGAAATCCTTTAAGGCAAAAAAGTTGTTCTGGTTTAAGCAAAGTTCAAAGAGGCATATCATGGCAAGTATACAACCTAGGGAAATGATTTGAAAAAACTCAACGCAAAAGCAATTGTAGCATGGAAAAAGTTGACATCAGCAGAACAAGATCACTATAAGTGTCTGGCTAAGGAGGAAAACGCTAGTATAAAAGCTTACAAGGTACGTTGTTTTTTGACCTCAAGCATGAAAAATGTGATGAATTCAAGTAATGGTGCTGACTTATTTTTCTTGGATAGATTCCATTTGAGACAAGGTGTTCTCCGACAAAGATGAAGGAAGTTTTTGATTATATAAAAAAGCAAAAATCTTTGAGGGATAGGGTTAATAGAATAGGATTTGGTAAGCTTTTAAATATTAAATGTCACAAGTTGCCTAGAGATTTATGCAATGAAGTGATGAAGGCATTTGATCCTCCTACATCATCCCTTTTCATTAGAGGTTAAAGGAAAGTCATCAATGGCAAAGCAATTCATGCCTTACTTGGCTTGCCTAATGATGGGGAGATGATTGATATGAATGGAGATAAGAATAAATTAAAGTCCTTAGACAAGGAGTTTAAAAAAGTATCCTATAATGTAAAAAAGGACAGGATACTCTCGGGGAAAGAAAATAATAAATTTGAGTTTCTCTTCATTCTCTATTACTTAGAGAATTTTCTTTGTCCAAGTTCGAGTTCCAAAATAAGTGATAAACTATTGAAGGTCATGTCCGGATTAAATTTGGGAACTGTACGTTATGATTGGTCATTCTTTATACTATCTAAGCTTGGAAAGGAGATAACCGAATATAAAGCATGTGAGAAGAAGGATGGGCACAAAAAAACTATTAGAGAATGCTTATTTCTTCTTGTGGTATGTGGATAAATTAAGATATAATTTGTTATAAGTTAATTATTTTGTAAAATTATGTGGCTTATATGATATAGATGTAAATATGCAGATTTTCTACTTTCAAATGTTTCCATCAGAGCCAATTGAGGTGTCATTACAAGAAGATGATCTAGAACATTGGACAGAGGAGAGAGTGACAGCACGAGTTCAGCTTGAGAAGGCAAGTGATCATGGCATTTTGTATCACTGTTCTCGAGGACATGACAGCTTCTCAGTAGAGCTTCCAGAAATGAATTCATTTTATGATCCGATAAGGGCAAAATGATGGTTGTTAATTAGCAAAGTTATTTTTTTATATAATTTTAAACGTATGATATTTTATATGGTGCAGGACATAAAAGAGGTATATAGAGATGTTATGACCTTTATACGTGAAATTGTACAAAGACTCCTCAAGCTCTAAAGTAAAAGAAGAAGAGAGGAAGTTGTTAAAAAGTATGATGGTGAAGAGGAAGAGTTAGAATTTGACGACAAAAAAGAGGAAGGAGAAGAGACAGGAGATGAAAATGAAGAGGAGGGAGAATTCGGAGACGATGAGAAGAAGGAGGAGGAAGGACAAGCAGAAGGAGATGAAAATGAAGAGGAAGGGGGATCTAGAGAAGATGAAAAAGAAGAAGAGGAAGGACAAGCAAAAGAAGATAAAAATAAAAAGGAGGGAGAATCGGGTGCAAAAGAAGAAGAAGTAGAAAAGCCAATTAGAAAATAAGATTCTAAAGGTAAAATGACACTAAGAAGGTCACAACGACAAATAATCAGCACTATTCGTTCATCCTTTTTGGATGATAGAGGGAAGGCAAAAAGAGGACAATGTACAGAGAAAGAAGTTTACCAATACTATACAAAGTCTATTCCACCCAATGAGGGACATAAGTATGATATTCAACCTTACTAGTTGATATGTTCATAATCGATTGGTTGATATAATTTTATTTTCTCTAACAGGAAAATTGTAAAGATTGATAAGTATTATCTGATAAGATATGAATGCAAGTGTCTAGGTCTTAGACAATGGATCAGCAGTTTGGTGAGCAA